TCAAACAAAACGTCCCCTTCCATGAATTGTTAGAGGATGTCATGCAGCAATGCAGAAGATCATTGCCAGCCTGGAATGGAGGGTTCTTGTGATGTACTAATTGCAGTGGTACACAATAAGTCACGTGCTTGTGTGGAGCACTGGAGATATGCAGGCATCAAATCATCGCAGCATGTCCCTTCAGATCACAATTGCTGAGTAGCTTCTCATTTGCAGGCGCATTGGGATTCGCCACATTGAGCTTGTGAGGGAGCCTCTTGATGGTGGACAAGGTGTGACTGGATATTCAGCAAGATAGCACAACAAAAGTTGCCCACCTCACTCCCTCTATGTGCATGTGTGATACCCACAGTGGCTTATGATGTCACATTTGAATTTCTGTTGCACGCCACAGAGTGCTGTTTATGTTTGTTTACTGCTAAATTTGTGACTTCAGTTTGCACATGAATGATCTGTCATCTTTTTCTGTGATGGTAATCTTTCAAAGCTGTTTTGGCAAATAAATGATATCCTCAAGAATATCTGTGCTCTGAAAGGCAGATCTGGAGGCTGGTTGAGGATGCAAAGGAAGCAAATATGAACATGATTAGGGTGTGGTGGGCTCACCCTCTTTTCTGAAAGACCATTGGAGTTGCTGAGACCTGCTGTGTCTGCAGTGAAATCATGAATGAATAATCTACTGCTGGCTGCTTTTCACGTCATGGAATGCACATGTTCGGATAAGTCGCAAAGAATGTGACAACAGGAAAGCACCAAAACCTGGCATGATGGCAGACACACTGCTGTGCAACAAGTCAGTCAATGATGGTTTGGCAACTGTCATTGGGGAGCAGAAAATCGTACTCTTGGATAGTAATGGAACAACTTTGATGGCAATCAGAGATACAGTGAGGAACCTTCGGATGCTGATGAAAAGATTGACAACCTGAACATTTGAGTTTAAATTTGCAATATTAGGTTTAGGCAAATCTGCAACATGATCGTAAGTTTGTCAGGACAAACTTACAAAAAATGGAATATGCGATACACTGCGTACAACTCCTTAGCACTATTGATGATGAATACTCTTTTCGGTGCTGTTAGGAATGATTCAGACCTTTCGAAGTGCACAAGGGCCGCGCTAAGCACCATCCATGGCTTTCAGATGAACCCACACACCTTCAGCTAGTGCCCATGTCTTGCGTTTGTTATATGTTTCCGCATTCACCACACTTCATGTGCATTCTTGCCTCTCTGAGGTATAGTTTGGACCGATTCATCCATATAGGCAGGCTGGCTGAGTAATTTCCTGCAGCCAGTGTCATTCGATGGTCAGTTTCTGCCAGTCTGGCTTACCAGTGACTGGTGTCTTGTACTTTAACACAGATGTTCTATTTTTCAGGGGAGGGGGTTTGTACTGTGCTGATGCTTTCTACAAGGCTTGCGATGAGGTCGGAATCCTTGTTTGGCAAGAAGCCATGTTTGCCTGCTGCATGTACCCCAGGGACAATGGCTTCCTGGAGCAGGTGGGGCACAGTGGCTGTCAGTCATTCATATGCACATGTTGAATGGTTTCTGGTTGCCAATTGCATGGATTTGTTCGTCTGCCTCTGCAGAAGCAACCATACCTGCTATTTTCCCATAGCTTTGTGTTTTGTGCAGTGCTTCTGTGCTTTGATAGGACTGTATGTTAGCATATCGTTTCACCATAGTACCTGCTCAAAGAGTATGGTTGGCATTGCATCTGCGCAGGTTGCTGAGGAGGTCAAGTATCAGACAAGCCGCCTGGCTTCCCATGCATGCATTGCCATCTGGGGTGGTAACAACGAAATTGAAACTTCGATCGATTGGTACAAGGAGACAAGGGACAACAAACTTCTGTATGGAGTGGACATGGACAACTTGTTTGTTGGAACTGTCCGAACAGCCGTACAGGAGGTAATGCATTATTTTGAGTAATACCAAACGCTCTCACAAGAGAAAAATGCTGCTACAGAGTTGTCCATTTTATTGTGAGTGTTCTTGAAGCCGCACTTGCATCACTGAACTTTACTGTTGGGTTCAAAACTGAGAAAGCGGATCCAGTTCGTGTTGTCATATTTCGATGCACCTGCAGGCATTTGCTTACCTCCAGATGTGTTCTTTAGGGATATCACACGGAATTTCCATGTAATGAAGCTTTCTGTATCATGCAGCTGTGGAGAGGTGTCGACAGCAACTGAAGTGATTATTTAAGCGATGCTGCCATATTTGAAAATTCTGTCAGTGCACTGACACCATACTCCGCTCATCAGTATTCAGATCTACAGGGAAGCAGAGCCGATTTAGGGCTGACGTGTTTGCATTATTAGCCCAGTGTCAGCCAAAACGATGCAACATATCATATCAAGAAAGTGTGCAAAATCTGCTCTGAGAAATAATCGATGTCGTCGCGTTTGCTCTTCATGACCCTGTGGATGCCAAATTACACAACTGGATGCTCTCCAGGCCATGTTGTAGCTGCTATTGTTCACTGGGCTCATGCACTGCCTCCGCATGCGCAGGTGGATCCGCATGTTGCATTTGTGGACACCAGCCCATCCAACGGCGTCTTTGCTGTGAACCCCTATGTTAAGCGATGGGGTGATGCACAGAGTCCCGACTATGGGGACATCCACTACTACAACTATAGCGCGGATGCCATGGACTTCTCAATTTATCCTCGCGCCAAGTTCATCTCCGAGTTTGGGTACCAGAGCTACACGTCCTTGCAAACATACCGAAGTGTCAGCACACTGTGTGATTGGAGCTACACTTCCAGAATGTCAGAATTTCGGTGAGCATGGCTCTTTGAAACCCTTTTCAGTGCATGCCCAACTGCTGTAACTGCAGCCCTTGCGATGCACATGGTGGTCTGTTGGTTCCCTGTGCTGCAACTGACGATGTGTGCGCATTTTCACCAGTTTCACTGCACATCATGTGCCCCAGGTTTGTCATAGTTTTGGTGGCAACAGCAGTCAATGGGTGGCGAGCCTCAGGCTTGTGCACAAGTCAACACCACAGTGTGCCATTTGTGAAACTCTTGCAGATGCCCATGTGTGCCGTTACGCAGGCAACGCCATCCCAATGGCAACCAGGAGCTCGTGGATCAGATCAAACGGCACTTCAAGCTGCCAGCTGCAGGGGAATCCAAAAGCAAGGGAGATGTCAACCTCTTTAAACACTGGATTTATCTCACACAGGTGCGAATCGCATCAAGGCGTGAATCCAGATAACTATGGGCAGGAGCCTTGCAGCAATCGGAGTGCAGGTGGACTTTGATGCCTGCTGCACTGTTCATGTCCTGATGCTTACGTTTTATTCACGTTAGTACGTCAATGTTGTGCACTGGACGTGGGCCATGTGGTATTGAGATTCTGATGTGGACCTGCAGCAAAGTGCCTGTGGGAGAATTCAAGAGTTGGGGGCAAAATCATGTCGTGGCGCAAATGCCAACGTGCTCAATTGCTGTTATCCCGCCTGTGCGTTAAGCTAATATGCGCAGCTTCATATGATCAACTTGCATGGGTTGCTTCCCATCCACTCATATCCCCATTTTTCGATCTCTTCCCTGTTGTAACATATAGTTGTTTGAATGTGAACGTCATTTCTGCGTCATTTGACTTTGCACCTGCTCTCAATCTCACACTATGATTGTGATAAGGACATTTTTGTTTCTGCTGGGGATGAAGAACATTGTCTTCCTTGTGACAGGGCCAGGGGATCTGTATGTGCCCTACCAAAGCGTACCAAGTGCCAAACTCCAACCAGATCACTGTGCACCGTGGGGAATTGTATGCATGACAGCATGAAGCTGTATGATAAGGTTGTGTCCGTGTGGGGCCCCTCTGACTGTTTTGCATATGAAAACACAGTCCCTTTCACCTTCTGGGCTGTGTTACGAGTTGGCAGCACTGCTGACGTGACAACTTGCTTGACATGCTGTAGGTGCTGCAGTCGCTGGTCTATCAAACTGCCATCGAGTACTGGTGAACACTGCGGACCGACAGCACTGCTCGCACCATGGGGGTTTTGTACTGGCAGGTGCAGTATTCCTTGAGTTTAAGTGAAGGACGTGTGCAACAGGCTCCACTAGTGATGAACATAGTTCTTGTCGTTTTGTTGCTGACAGTGGTAGATTGAATCCAAGACACAACTGTGGTACCGCCTTGGCCTCAGATTGAATCAAGCATTATGCGCTTGGTGTCAAGTGATGGATTGCCCACAGATTCGACCCCTGGTGACACCTGGAAGGCTCTATCAGCAAATGTGAGCCGAGCTGACCAGCGTTTGGCAGTACATAAGCTGCACAGCTGGATTGATCATCTTTTGGCCTGAGACTAAAGATTGGAAGTTGATGCAATGTCTGCTGAGGCACTGTTCTTGCATGTGTTGCAGCTTAATGACATTTGGCAAGCCCCAACATGGAGCAGTATTGAACATGGTGGTCGCTGGAAACTGCTGCACTACAAAGCGAAGAGCTTCTATGCCCCTTGCCTGGTCACTGGCCGTGTGAAGGATGGCACAATCCAAGTGCATGGTGTCAATGACTCCATGCACACGCTGAATGCAAGGATGCACATCGAGGTGCGGTACCTGTACATCTGCTGCCTTGGAGAGAGTTCCCCCTGCCACTGTCTTGGTTGCTGCCGTGTTAAGCTTCCGTGCAGATGCTCGTGCCCCAAAGGAATTGTGTGCCGTTGTTCCAAATTCGTGCCATTGTCTTGCTTCAGTGCCCCAACTAATGACTGCCTGGTGTACTACAGTTCATTGCTTGGGATGCAAAGCTGGGCCCTTCACTGTCAATCAACGTGCCAACACGACTGGAGCCTGGCAGCAGCAGAGTCGTATGGTCCAAAAGCATTGACAGGCTTCTCATCGCTTGTAGTGGGGAGGTGAATGACTGCTGTGTGAGGGTAACTTGCCATGCCACAGTCGCAAGACCGCAGACATTTGCAGGATTGAATATTGGGCTCCCAGAGCCGTTTGCAACATTGAGCCAAATGCACGCAAGGCCTGAGTATAGTGTCAGGGCGTTCTACCGGTTGCCCAGCCCATCGGAACTACACATAAGCCGATGTGCTGCCTCAGAAAACGGGGCGGCTGACGAGAATTACTCATCTGAAGCCGTGATTTTCCTATCTGAGATGAAGGACGCAACCTTATCAGAGGCAGCCATCCAGGTGAGCGGTGGAAGACGGCTTGAGCCGGCACAACAGCTGTGAGACAGACCCTTGTAACAGCCCCTGGCCCTCTGAGAAGGCACAGACAATTGGCAGATTTGCGTCACAGCAACTTCATGCTTGAAAGGGTTGCTGTTGTTGGCCTTGAATTATGTTGAAATTTGTTGTGAAGTGGACTCCAGTGTACAACACCTCCTTTTGCGGAGATACCTCTGATAGCCATGAACCCGAGACTGTGCAGACCGCACCATATGTTGACACACTACATGTTACATGTTCTGTCCAAAAATAATTGTCCTCTATTTGAAAGACCAAATTCGTTACAGAGACGGCCTCAAAATTGCAAAACAAATTCAAAATCGGAAAGAGCGGGCTTTAAAACCCTTAAACTACCAATTTTCAAGAAGACAAAGTGCGACAAGACCCCTTTGAGCGTTAAGCAAAAGATGGATTTTGGCCATTGTAGGACCCCAAATATCAAGGTTTAAGAGGTAAAACCTTTAATACAGAGTACTGCCAAATCCTCAATTCTTAACGGATTGACTTCGAAATGTTGACAGTATGCTGCGAACCCACAAACACAACTTGGGGTAAAATATCATTGAATACTGATGTCGGTACGATGGAGAAGTAGTGACCCAAAGCCATAGACGACAATTAATCTTGGACAGAGGAAGTACATGTCAAGCCACGCCAATCTCTTATTGTGTTGGCCTTGCACCCCACCCCACCCACCACCACTTGTTGGGAGTGCTATCACTCTGTCCCTTCCTGAAACCATTGGCTATCCAGTGTGCAGGCTGAATTCGCTTATGGTGTGAACTGCAGGTCTGCGACGTCGCCTCTGTGAGCCCCAACACAGTCCGTTTTTCGCTGACTTCGGACTCCGTCGCCCCTCTTGTGGCCCTATGGTCTGATTGCCCTGGCCGCTTCAGTGACAACCTTCTGCTGCTGTTGCCTTGGGAGAAGAAGGAGATCGTGTTCAAAGGGGATGGTCCGCTGAAGGCCGAAGACTTTGAGGCCTCCCTGGATATAATTTCCATGAACGACATGCAAGGGCATCAGGAGGCGGCTCCCTGACACAGCGGCGCTTCGAGCATCAGTGTGAGAGTTTTGTGGCTTGTCTGTGCTGGCGCACGCAGGCCACGGAGTATCTGAATTGCAGAGTTGTGTGTGAGTTTCGTGGGAAGCCTAAGCTAGCGCTTGCTATGCGATGGTGTATTCAAGTTGAAAAGTTGATGCAAGTGGCACCAAGTCAATAAGTGCTGTTTGCAATAATATTGACAGATTCTTTTGGCTGGGTTTTTTTGTGCCAACAGCCTGAGTTGTCGGTGTGTCAGCCATATGGCCAGGCATAGGCTGGTGAGTTGATCATTAGTATGCAAATAGCGTGGGTAGATGGCAGTTTAGTGACTTCCCCATCGCCATCTGTAACATTACAAGGGTGTAGGAACATAATGATAAGGACGGTGGGACTGAGCGATCACATTGTCAAACCATTGCCTCTTGTGTGAAGCGCTCTGCACCTCGATGCTGGTGGTCGGGATGTAGGTGTCCTGATTCATTGTCCTAGCTGGCTGCTTGACATCTTCGAGTGCCCTTGACCAGAATCATGGCAGGCATACTATTCAGGCGCCCACTTGATGCTTCCAAAGTTGCTGAAACTTCATGGCTTGTCGCGAATTGCTGCGCGACTGAGTGTCAACGTTTAAACTGGCTAAAGGTAATAGAGCGCTGGCTCAAAGTGCTCCTTGGAATGCTCAAAGTAAAGGTGGTTGGGGTATGGCTCAAGGTGCTCCTTGGAGTGCTCATTGTAAGAGAAGACTCCACAGTCGTTGTTGGGGCCACATGCAGCTTCACAGGCAGCCCAAACATGGAGCGCGGCTTACATACCGTATATTCGCTCATCGACGGGAACGATCGGGCCGGAGTGGATGTTGTTGAGGGAGAATTTGAAAGGGGGCTCACGAAAGGCCGCATGGTCGACTGCCCGCCGTTGGCGCTCTCAGCGCAGGATCGCCGGGGATCGACCGATGCCCCGGGGCCCAATAAAAAAAACGGTCGAGATATCAAAGCCGCCCTGCTTCTGGATTGAGCTAACCTGCTCCCCGGCCGGCCAGTGTAGGTTCCGGCCTGCCGCCTGCCAAGGGCGCTCCAAGGCCTAGCGCCAGGAATGGGTAGGCGATGGCGTTGGTGGGGGCGGCTGCCATTGTGAGACCCTGCCTTTCAAAACTGCCCACAAACGCTGCCAAGGCCAGGCCTGTCCCCAATTCGCACATCGTACTAGGTACCAGGCCACAAACACATTCACAGATCACATCAGCCTTTGCAGCTGCCATCAGCCTGGGAAAGCGCCGCGTTTCAAGCTTGTCGTTGCGGCGTTGCGCCCCAGCGAGTCGAGACCCGTGTCGGTCCTTGTTCTTTGCATTGCAGAGGAAATTGCGCCTCGAACATTCCAGCGAACCCCTATTGGCCCCAATCGCCAGTTGCCACCACCTGGTGCAGCCCCAAGTCAAGGCCGCCAGCTCCCATGAAGAGGCTGACAACATTCCACACTAGCATTGCCATCCTTGCCCATTTCTGGGCATTTCACAACCTATCTGTCAAAAATTTTCTCTGTCTACTCTTTGGGATCAGGGGTCCATACCGCGTTAGTATACATGACCCACTATTACTATCCAATGCTTATTTTGGGGGTCCAGTACACGCCTACAAATACCGGCTAAATACGGTATCTATGTGTCCAGCTTCAAGTGCGAACACAACTCCTCTTGCAAAAGGCAACATGAAACACAACCAGTTGTTCTTTCTTTTTCATCCCGTCTGCGTATTTATCGCAAGGACCCTCACTATTCGCAAATGCCACACAAACGGCTCATCATATGCCACCTCAATATAGCCAACTACAGCTAAGGTGCAAAATATGTCACGGACGTCCTTTCGCTCATCCATACGTGTATGGGGTGTTGAAACACTGGCCCTCCACCAACACCAAGAGCAGAACGATGACAAAATGAAAAAGGAAAGACAAGTTTTTCAACTGCAATCCACCACTCAAAAAAGGGGAAATTCAAGCAAGACGGCTGCATGTCGTTATGAAATCACAAGACTGTACTCTGTGTGTGCGTGCGTGCGCGCGTGTGTGCGTGCGCTATGTATGATGATTGAAAAGAGATGGTCGCTCAGTAGATGGGTTAAGAGGTTGCAGAAGGACGACCGTGATTTAACGATTGACAGGTTGCCTTCGATGGACAACTTGGCGGCTCCTGTGATGTGACTGGGTGCATGCAGCGTGTGATTTTGGCAGGGCCGGACGTGGCAGGTTGCTGTTTTCTAGCTGTGTTTTTCTCACAACATGCGTGTCTTTTGATGATGAGTATTTGTGTGAGCACCCCATTCTCAAAGACTCGAGTTCTAAGGCTTAAATGGTACACAAACGGTGGAGGTGGGCATTCAAACGCGATCGCCAATAGCAAACATCACCAAACAGGGAAATGAACAGTAGCATCGGTAAAAAGTCAAACATCCCGGATAATATCCAGGATATTATACCATATTATGTACATCCAGGACGTGCAACATTTTTCCGACGAGGGGTTCCTCTGCAGGGGTGTAAGTGGACAAAGATCCTCTACAGATGCGTGGGCGCTCCTAGTACGACTGCGGTATGGTCCAGCGCTGGACCGGGAATGCATCTAATATATGTGTGTTGGTTAATGGAACCCTTTTTGTCCGCTGATCCCTTGTAGACAACCCCTTTTATCACAATGTCTTGAAGCGCCCCCCTTTTGTCATTTCCCCCAGAAATACTGCATTCCTGACCATCCAGATCAGTCACAAGAACATTTGCAAGACTAGAAACTGCAAGAGTTGCCTCATGGCGCAGAACATGACGGCAGTCGAATTGAACACAAAAAAACATACCGAGGAAGTGATATACCACCTCAACGATCCTCAAAACGCATTCCATCTTTGCTCCCTCGATCCCCGTCAGCCATCCCAATAGGCTGAGAATAGCAGTTAGACACTTTCTGACCCAGTAGACTCCTTTGTGCATCAAATGGAACCCCTTTCCCGATGGGGCCAGCCAGCACAACCACCATTTCGGAACCTGGAATCATCGTAGCTGGCGATTCCATGCCAACAACGCACCTCTTCATGGAAGCAATCGCCAACCCGCACATGCAACCCAACCGAAGCTTCCTCCGGTGCACGCACCGACCGCTCAGCAGGTGGACCTGTTGGTAGTAGTAGCTGAGCTCAACTCCTCTCCACACGTGTATGCGGCCTCCCTCCCATTCAATCATCATAGAAAGTCGCTAATAAAACGCCTGGACGCCCACCCTATTGTACGGCCAATAGAGGTGCGGTTGCACTAGCAGAGCCCACGGCCGGTACAACGCTTGGGCGTCATAATGATGATTCCATGCGGGATGCTCCCAGGGTGCCGGTCGGTGACCGGAAGTGAGCTGCATATGTGCCGTACGGCGATAGGCTTCCCGGGCCTCCTCCTGCAAACGGTACTGCAGTGCGTCTTCACCGTTCACATGTTGATTGTGCAGCCAGGCTGTGTCCTCATCACTGAAGGGAAGGACGACCGTCATGCCAAAGCACTAGTAGCCCTCCGGACAATCCGCCTTGTCAAGGTACCACCCCGACAGCCACAGATTCCCCATCGCCAGCCATTGCGCCACAAGGAACCTCCAGCTCTCCACCTGGTGGCAGCAAGCGGAGGCCATGGCTTCGAGAAGCTGCAAGGCGACTGCGTGCAACGGGACGGAGGTAGCGAGCAGACTAGCGACTGCCAGAATTTGTTGCTGGGCGTTTTTGATCAATCGATTCTTGGTCAGTGCTCGGATATCATACTGGCTCACGGGATGTGGCAAAAACGGAGAGTGGTAGGCCAATTCGATGCAACAGGCGATGTTGGACGGTAGTTGAACTATTCAATGACTGATGCTGATGCATCGATGCAGAATGGATGATGCGGGGTCGTCCAGGGTGAGGTTGTGACCTTTCCTTCTGATGCCTCGTGATCTTCTCGTAGAGAGATGTACTCAAGATATTATAACAGCTTGATATTCTCCTTTGCAAATTCCTGGAATGGGCATGCCCTTCTTCATGCATGTCCTGTCTTGTTCTTGTGCTGTCCTTGGTCCTTTGTTGACCGGCAGCTGCTAATAACGTCACAGCCTTGGCGCTTATGGCTGTGTACTTGGACAAGTAACTAAAAATAAATAGGTCCATCTGTTGATGTTGTGAATTCTGGTGCATCCAGTTTTACTGGAGATTCACTTCATTTCGTTGTACTGCGATATTGGGGTGAGATTTGGGTTTACTAGATACACTAGGGGATTAGTGTGTCTATAATTTGATTAACTATTATTTTGGTAAATGAACACCCGATTATATTTGTGGTTACACGCTTCCAATGTAAGATTCTTTCCGAGTTCCCCGCTCTCTCCGCGTGCCCCTCGTGGGCCGGTCCTGGGGCGTACCCAATAGGGTGCGCAACAGTTGGTTTCGGAGCGGGCAACCGTTGGGGCTTCCGCGACGCCCCCCCCCCCCCCCCCCCCCCCCCCCCCCCCCCCCCCCCCCAAATTCCCTCCCAATCGCCGAGCATCGAGGTGGATCGCGGGCCAGCCGCTCGGGCAAGGAGCGGCGAGGCGGCCGCGACGTTCCGCCGCGGGCGCGCGGCTTGGCGCAGGCGGTGCACGCCCGGGTGGCCGCGAGCGCGCGGGCCAGGAGCTGGGGGAAGCTGGGCCCGCAGCACGGGACCGCGAGGTCCCATCGGGGCACGTGATGGGCCGCCCCGCGCGTGGTGTGACGTGGCGGGAGCCGCGGATGCGCCGCCCAGGGCGTGTACTGCAGTTGCGCGCCGGCGGAGTGATGTGAGGCGCTGGCGGTGAAGGGAATGACCAGCGGTGTGAGGTGGCACGCCCAGAACCTACTATGACGGGGCGCATGTGGGCGCAACACAGCACGGGCCTGCTGCGCATTCCCATCGCGCGCTGCAGGGTGATGCAGTGCGAGTGGCAGGACTGCGCAGTGCGATTGGCAATCGCCGTATACCAAGAGGG